CCTCGAGCAGATCAACACTCCCACCCAATATGGTGTCATCTGGAAACTTACTGAGGGTGCACTCAATCCCCTCATCCAGTTCGTTGATAAAGATATTGAACAAGACCAGCCCCAAAACCGAGCCCTGGGGAACACCACTCGTGACCGGCCGCCAACTGGATTTCACTCTGTTCACCACAACTCTCTGGGCTTGGCCGTCCAGCCAGTTTTTTACCCAGTGAAGAGGCCCTATAGAAAGGCACTGTAGAATAAATGTCCTTAAAGCAGAATTGTTCTAGGTCAGTCAATCCTTTCTTTGGGTCAAGCATTACAATGTAAAAGTGTATGAATAGAACATGGTGAAGAACACATTTTTGGAGGTGTCCCTGTCTGTCCTTTTGGCTTTGTGACTAAAAATTACACGATGAGGCATCTGGTGGTAGCACAATAGTAGTAATATGATTGTTGTAGTCTTCCGAAAAGAAAAAGAAATTATGTGCAGCAGTATAGTTATTTAAGCACTTACGGTGGATTTGGAAACAAAGATCCATTACCCTTAAAAGAAAGTGCTTACTTTCCTTATAGCCCCTTTCAACTGAAAGTGAGGTGTTTAGCAATTATTACGCAAAGTTTTGCGTAAATCTCAACAAAGGGGAAATACTTCTTTAGAAATGTGGAAGAAAAGGATAGGGAAAAATAGATTGTTTTGGAAAGTTTCTATATTTGACATGAATTTCTGAAATAGATTTTAAACTATATGGCCAAAACTTTCAAAACGGATTTTCATATGTCTGTGGTAAAATATTTACAGTGCTTGCCTGATTTTCAGGAAGAGCTAAATTTGTCTGATAAATCAAGCATCTTTGAAATTATATAAGTTGAGGAAACAATCCAATCATTACTAATCCAATAATTAGAAATTGTATCATCAAAAATTAAAAAGCCTAGTTTTAAAAATTAAAAACTGAAATCCAGAATTTAGTAAAAAAAAAAATCAACCTAAATATTTTCTCACTTGAATCTTCAGAGTATAATGTTAAAGAGTATCTATTCCATTCTTGCAATTACAAGTATAACTTATTTATACTATGGTGCATACTAATAGCCTTACTCATGGACAAGAACCTTATTGTATCAAGTAATGTATAAATAGGAAACAATTTTGCTAGTCAAATTAGTTTTCCATCTAAGACAGGAACTGAAGAAAACAGGTAAGTGATTCAAGAGGAATACAATGAGACTGCATCAATGAACATTCTGGAAAGTGTTATTAGTACATTGATATGAGCCTAACTGCCTATCAGCTAGGCTGTGTGTGTATAAATATCTACACGTAGATAAGACAGATCACATGTATAAATCTCAGGGAATCAGGCGTTGCTATGACGGAAGTGTGGAAGACTGATTAATCAGGCCAGTTTTAAACTTAAAAACAAAACTTTACTGCATAGATATTCATTAACAATACACATTGCTAATGGTTAGTTCTTAATAATTATTAATCACTATTACTACATATTCAAAACAGTTAGTCCTTAACAGTCATCCTAAATTAGCAACTAATATACAATACCACAGAGCTGATGCCATGTAATTAGCACCAATGGTTACAGTCCTTGAGAGTCTTGGTCATCAGAGTGATCATGTTCAAGAGCTATTCAATGAAGGAAGCTAACATGAAAAAGGTGTCCTTCCTTCCCCCTCCTCCAAGCCCAAATTCAAGATTTTCACCTTTATAAAATATTGCAGTCTTTAGAGAGTTCTTAGCCCTTGACCGCTGACCCCTAGGACTTTGGGAGACTTGCAGATACTACTTTCCCAAGCTGCAGCAGGTGCCTTGCCTTGCCCATCTGTTGTGGGTTTTTTCTAATCTGCTGCTTCTTTTTTTTGTGTTATATTTAAAGCAGTCTCTTCCCAACTCTTAACGTTGCACCTCTTCAGTGATCAGTAACTGACCATCAGTGAGGTACTTACAGTTCTGGAACCTTTGTTTTCAGCCTGCACCCATATTTTCAAGACCTTTGCCGTCATCCCACATATGGGATGACTAAAAGTCCACATCATAACAAGAGGCATCTGGCATCAAGCTCCAGCTGACTTGCAAGTTCTCATAACAAGTTAATAACAAGCCTAATAGGCCAGGACTGACAGTGAGGATAAGGCTTGAGATTTGTTTCTGGCAATAGCAAAACTGTTTTTATTGAGCATGAAAATGTTTACAGGTTGTTTACCAGACATGCCTGATCAGTGTGATTTTCACAGAGTTCAAAGCAAGCTAATATTAATTACATTTGGCTTAGCATGCTTCTACTTTTAGGAGTGCGATAAGCCTCTGCTTTGGCCACATCGTAGAGTGGTTTGAATAATGAAAAATAGTAGTGAGAAACTGGTACATATTTGCTTAGTATTTCTTGTTTTCATAGGACTTATGAAAGGAAGGAGGAAAACCAAAAGTATCAAGACTGACAATCGATACTGAAATAATTACAGTGACAAAAATAGCAGTATTGAAATAATTACAGTGACAATTCAGAGATACATACTGCCTTTAATTTACATGTTGCATGACCCACTTTGAACATTGACCAGAGAATAGTAGATGCCTTTTTCAGCCAGGAGCTGCTGATGGGTCCCTTGCTCTACAACCTTGCCGTTGTGGACCACGGCAATCTTGTCAGCATTTTGGATGGTGGAGAGGCGGTGAGCTATCACGATGCAGGTGCGACCTTCTCTGGCCTTATCCAGCGCTTCCTGGACAATCTGCGCAATGAACAAACCAAAAGGTGAACTATTCTGGCAGCTGTCGTGAGATATACCTCAACTGCCATCTGTGAAGTAAACTGTAATATGACAGTGAGGGAAAGGGAATATATGTGGCTTTAGTTTCCTGTTTTAGAATTAGCCTGTGTTGTCAAGGAGTCAAAACTGTCATAGCAGATGATGCCATGATAGCTAAGAGGATGAGATGGAACCAGGCTCATTTCTGAGATGCATGGTAGGAGAACAAGAGAAAATGGTCATAAATTGTAACAGGGGAGGTTCTGACTGGCTATAAGAAAAATAGTCGCTGCAAGGGTAATTAAGCATTAGAACAGGGACAAAAGAGATCTTGTTGAATCTTCTTGGAGATTTTCAAGGACCCTACTGGGCACAGCACTAAGTAACCTAGTTTGAATTCAGTATTGGCCCTTGTTTGAAGAGGAAGTTTGATTAGAGACCTCCAGAGGTCCCTTCCATGACTAATTATTTATATGTGGGAGTTAAGTCAGTAATCTTGGGTCAACTACTATCATACTAGTTCTCATGATTTCGCAGGGAGTCACATGAATCATGTTTTTCTTTAAGCTAGCACTGGCAGAAAAATACCAAGAAGAATCTCTGCTTTCTTTTCTTTATTCCTTATGTTTATTAATGCAGAATAAAATAAGAGATGAAATTTCTGTACCTAACTGGCACACAATTAGAAAACAAAGTATCCTGGAATTATTTAATGGTATTTTCCCCTCAAACCTTATGCTTTTATGCCTAGAATTGATCAAAACTTAGTCCATAAGGTTTGAGCTTTTCAGATTATAATATTTGTTATAATAGTTGCCTCATAAATAGTAAGTTCTTTTGTAGAATCTGTGCTGATTTTCTACAGCTAGATTGTACTTCTGTTATACCAAGTTTGCAGCTTTGGGCTTGAAAAAAGTAAGTGTTCTAGCAATTTTTTCACTGGAAGTTTGCATATTAGCCATGAACGTATAGCAAGGACTGGAGAGCAATGAGAGAAGCTAGAAAAATTATGAAAGCAAGATTTGGCCATTTCCCAGGAAAAAAGTTCTCTGGCAGCATCCTCAGTCTTTTCAGTTTCTGAAGTTTGTGCCTCCTGATTCAATTTTGATAGCACTTTTCCAATTGAAGCCTGAAGAATTCCAGGCAAAGAAATGCCTTCTTCATTGCTACTTTAATCTGCCTACAGCTATTCAGATGCAGGGGAAAAAAAAAGTTTTTTTGGCGAGGAGGAGTAAGACCGTTATATTTCTCTATTATTAGCATAAATATGTATGTCCAGCTTTGGACTTTAATCTGTGGGAGTGAAAACGATAATCATAATACAAACAAACATGGATTTAGATTCCAGACTCCTGGTTCACAACCAAGTTACCTTTTCACTTTCTGTATCTAAGGCAGACGTAGCTTCATCCAGTAGCAGAATTTGGGGCTGACGTACAAGAGCTCGGGCAATAGCAATACGTTGTTTCTGACCACCAGAAAGCTGAGTTCCCTTGTCTCCTACACGGGTATTGTATTTCTAGAAACAATATATTAAGTTCAGATTATGAATGCAAATTGATTCTGAAGTATATTTAAGTATATTGACCCTGACACCAGCCATCCATAAACTGCATATTCCATGCCAAGAGCTCTCTGAAAACAGATGACCAGAATTGTTATCTGACACATATCTATAGATCTTTCACTAGGAGACTTCTTTGTAGCATCAAGCATTTAATAAATTCAAAGCAAAAACCCCTCTAAGGTTAGAAGGCAACATTATTCTCAATCAGGAGATGGAATACCAAAGCTTAGTGAAAGTCTATGACAATAGTGGGGATCAAACCCTGACCTTGAACACTTCAAGCTAGCATTCTAACCAATCAGTTATTCTACCCACATTTATTCATCCTGAGGAAAAAAATAGCAATGTATAAGATGTATCAGTTTCAGGCCAAATTATATACTATATCTATATATAGACATAGACATTTATACACTTTATCTACATCTATACTACAGTTTTGGACAGTTATGCTTTTAATTTAGTTATGTCAGTTAAGGCAGACCAGTCAGGTCTCCGGATATGTAGGTCACAGTAGTCTTTGAGGTATTATATATTTGGTTGCAAAAAGCACCAAAGTTTTATGAGACATCATTATATATCACAAGAGTTCTCTACAAAGTTTTGGAAAGAGCAGATCTTGATAAGTCATTAGAAACTAAACATGATCTGGAAAAATCAAGGGCTTTCGGCTTTGTATTTTTTCAAGAAATGCAAAAAGCAGCTTAATAGCCTGAAATTAAGCTGAATATATACAACATACAACTAAGCTGGCAACCTCCTTGCTTCAGGAAGTTTTGGATACAAGCTGACATAGGTTAGAAGTTGATTTGTCAAACCCACAGAAAAAAATCCCTCCAGAACTATTAAATAATAAACCATGATTTCTATCTTAGGAAGTTCCTGAGTCACAAATTATGCAAAGTTAGATGAGAATTCAGGGGAAATGTGATTATACTTATTTGTAAATACCTCTTGCTGGTCACTGCCTGGGACAAGATTTTGTGCATGGCAGACCTTTCACCTGACCCAAGATGTTTATTCTTGCATTATTATGTGTTGGTTAGATATATATGAGAAAAACTTTCTTAGTAATTTTTGAACTGTAGGAATACTAGAAATTTAAATTTTGACTAGGTATAACTGGAAGAAATGCATAAGAAACTTGTCAGTCTAGCAGAGTCTTTTACATATGCTTGAGATAAATAGGAGCTTAAAAAGAAATGTTTAACTCACTTTAAAAAGCCCACCCCACACTTCCAGCTCTCGATTAGTTATAATTGTGGATTTTCTTCCCTGATATCTTAAATGTTCAGCTCTCCACCTGATATTGGAGTCTCCCAGAGTAAAAATAAGTATGGTAAACACAATTAAGAAAGATAAGATTTAAAAATCAGTTTCAGATCTATTTGCATCTCAGGGAATTATTGTACCCCGGGGAATCATAAATGGACACAATTTTTCCCTGCCTCAGCAGGTCATCTCCAGTTCTGAGTAGGAGAGAAAAGGAATAACTTACATCTGGCAGAGAGACAATGAAGGAATGAATATTGGCTTCTTTTGCTGCATTAACAATTTCCTCATGTGACACCTCCCGACTGTTATCTCCATATGCAATGTTTTCAGCAATAGTGCAGTCAAACAGCATTGGTTCTTGTGAGACGATACCAATCTGAGATCTTAGCCACTGGATATTCAGTGTCTTCGCATTTTTTCCATCAAAAAGCTGAGAAACCAAGCATTTTAAGTTTCAGTCACATGGCTATATGTGTATTTGAGATTTACTGTAAATTCATACACAGAAGTTGCACAATTGCAGCTCTTTCCTTGGAGTTACCATATTGAAAGCTCACATAATCCCTTCCCCTCCTTCTCCTCTATGTTCCAAAATTTTCCAAGGGCTATTATATAAAAGTGAGGATAGTCCCTTCTGCTGCCTCAGTCCTCTTCTTTGCTTCAAGATTTCATTAGGATTTTGAAGACAGTGGAAGATAGGATATGCTGAGGCAACTTCAAAGAACTTTGGGTAAAGTTCTTTCATTTCTTTCTTCGGTGGGAAAACTTTCCTCTGTTTTGCATACATATTCCCACTGAAGAAACAGATTGGCAGTAGTATTTTATTAAAATAAAGGAAGAGCTGGGTTCATTCATTTACACACTTCTAAGCCAAGCATCCAATCTTAAATTTAATTGTGATGTAATGCCTGACAATGGACAAATTTACTTCTGGATTCCTTAAGATATCATTTGCAGTCAGTTTTCTTTATTGGCAGCTGTGTCACACTTCTGCTAAATTTGGCTACTGAGTTGCTATCATTGTCTATTAGATAAATGACAACAGAAAATGTTTTTCTGGATAGATCAGTTTCATAATTATACACGTCATATCAACTTGCACACAAATATACCAGGACATTTAAAGGGCTGTTATATCTCCACTAGAATCACCCAGTACAGTGCTCAAGCTGTGTGTTGAGTGACATGATCATCTGGGTAACTGAAGAACTGCCCCCTTCATAGCATGGCTACTGGATGTGATTAATCTACTCATTCCACAGTTTGTGCTAGAACAGCTAGTTCACAGCCAATATAATTGTTTTTCAAAGGAAAGAGATCATAATGAACCTAATTCAAAATCCACTGAAATCAGTGGCGGCATTTCTACATCTGCAGATGTAAGGGCAAAAAGAAAAAAAGCTGGAAGGGAGAAACTGCTTTCAACTACATAGATATGTGCCATCTCTTTTCCTTAGAATTCCAATGGATTTGCAGGCTGCTAAGGTCTGCTACCTGTTCCTTATTTGATGTGAAAAATCACCGATGAAGCTAGAGAACTCAGTTATTATGTATTTTGGATCCACCATACCAAATAGCACAACTTTTAGGCAAAGTTACTCTCTTGACCAGACTAGCATAGTGCTCACTGCTGCGAACAGCTGTTCTTCTGACGGTTAGTGCTTTTAAGCATGCACCCCTTTCACTCAGTTCACAGTGCAACTGAGCTTATGAATTAGTCCACTGCTTTCGTGGTTTCTATGCCAGAGGTCTGTGCTTTTCCCTTCAGTAAACCGTTGTTGGTTATTTATGGATAGAAGGTCAAAAACATTGGTGATGAAGTTACGCTTGGTTAAGCATACTTTTGGGGCACCTATGCTGCTTCTTTCTACACGTCAGTTTGCTACACCGGACCTGTATGGGCATTTCCAACCTCAGAAAAATCTTGTCCGTTGCATCTAGGCCTTATTTAACTATTGCTTTATCTTTTGTGAGTGTCTCTGCAGAGACAAATTCTGAAATCCTTCTTATTCTCACCTCATGCAACCCAAAATGTATGGGTTCTTTTTCAAACAAAATCTCTGAGCACATTTACATCAAAGAGAAAATGGCAATAAACAATACCATTATGTGAAAAAAAAAATGTAAAGTTGTTGAATAAGTAGTGTGGGAAACCATAGACATATTTTAAACCCAAATTACTAAAAGTATTTACAATCTATCGCTTGGTAAGATTTTTTATTTTTTTTTAAATGATGTTCACTGTTTTAGGAAAGAACATAGATGGCAAATTCTATTACTATCTTATACAGAAGTAGATACCTATATTTAATAACTTTTGAAGTGTTCTTAATGTAAAAACCTCAGGAAATTTGCTCTGAATTCAAAGCCATCATTAGGCTGTGGATCAGGCATATTTTTACCACACAGGTCTTGTTTCATTAATTCATTATAATATGGGACTTTTTCCATTATATTATTCATCGCATTTAAATAAGGAACCCTGATGACACACTGCTTCTCTTTAACATTAAAAATATTTTAAAAATAAAACCAGAAATATCTATTATACTTTATCACATCACATAAAACCATATAAGCACACCCTCACTTAACATGTTGACATGTTCTTGCAAAAATACTTACCATTTCTCCATCAAGTGGATCATAAAATCTCTCAAGCAGCTGAACAACAGTGCTCTTTCCACAGCCACTGCTACCAACAAGAGCCAGAGTTTGTCCCTTTTCTACCTTTAGATTCAAACCTTGGAGGATTTTGACCTCTGGTCGGTTTGGGTAGTTAAATGCCACATCTTTGATCGTTATGCTTCCCTCAAATGTTTCCTATAATTGAAATAGTATCACTGTTACTTCTTTAAGACAATTTGACACATGATTCAAATAGAATTGCAGAAGTTTTTTTTTCCCCACTGAAATCAATAGAGTTTTGCATTTGCTGGAATGCTGACTTTAAGTCTGTGGTCTGAATCTTTGTGAAGCTATAAAATCAAGCTGCAGCACTGAACTATTTTGAAAATGCTCATAATTCTGCTGGTTGAATTCCACACAAGTTGTACCTTAACCAGATTTTCAAAACAAATAACCTTTAGACAACGTGGGCAAAAGCTGGACTCACAATAGAGAACTTGGTCCGTGTTGTGTTTGGATAAAGTGTCGAGAATGCATTGAGATAAGGAAGTAATCAGAAAGAGAGGAAAAATCAGTTTGAAGGAAGTGAGAAGAGTACTGTCCACATTGTCAATAAATAATATCGCCCATTGCATATGGCTTACTTACAGGCTTCTCTCCTTCCTCACTGTAACTATCTATTGAGGGTATTCTTTCAAACATCAGAAACAAGTGGGCTGCTGATATCTTGGCTTTGGCATAGTCTGGAGCAAAAGAGCTGCTTTGTCCTAATGCCATTGCACCAAATACAACAGCTGAAAACACTCTATAAAAGAAATCAGGGGAAAAAAAAAATCAATAAACAGACAACGAAGAAACGGACAATGGAAATGGGGCTGCAGTCAACTTTTTCTTTTACTCGGAGAAAAAAGGGGACTAAATTTAAAAAGAATGAAGTAGTAACCAGCTATTATTGCTTTAATTACTCATTTAGCTCCAGAAATTTGTTTTTATCCTCTTTTAATGAAGTGAGATAAACAAGCCTCCATTCCAAGTTCAATGTTTTCATTACTTATTAGCACTAATTTCTTTAATTATTAATACTGGTTAACTATATTAAGTCTCAACTGGGGCTAGGAGGAAAGTCATCAATGGATGGTAAAATCGTTACTCTAATCCTATTCTACTATTGCTGTAGTTTCTTCTCTGTGGTTCAATGACCTCTGGGAGGTAGTGATTCATTTTTAAGGCATCAATGAAAATAAGAAATCAAGCCTGTAATAAGGTGGCAATAAAGATTTAATTGGCTATCACAGTTCCGCTGGAAAAAATTTGAAGGATTCACAACACCAAAAAAAGGTTGAAAACTATGTTATTATTGTTTTATGGTGAATGTAGATCTATCTTTACAAGCTGTATTAGAATGGTTTAAGAACCTGTTGTCCTCAGCTATTAATTACTGCCACACAACATAGGATTACTCATCACTGAGGGACGGTAATTGACATGTGAGATCTCTTAGCCTGTTTTAAGGCAAAGTAAAATAAATTAATTTATATTAGTTTTTATCTTTTATCTTCAGAGCTATATAAACTAATCTGTTTTATTCTGCATTTGAACAGCCTAGAAGGGCTTGCACAGCTTCAGGTCAGACAATCCCTTCCAAATCTAACTGAGCCACTGGAAGTTCACTCACCCCGCTCGCTAGAGATTTTCAGCTAGCAGGTGGGATGCAGACACTTTCCAACATCTTCCAGTCAAAATGAGCTGTGTTAACTGTCTTTAATCAGGTTGCCAACAAAAAATCGGTATGATTGGCCTTTCTTAGGTATTGAGGTCACTGATACCCATACTGGTAGAATCTCATTCTTTTCATACTTGTTTCCATAGGCCTATATTGAGCTATTGACTCTTAAATTATAAATTCTATTTCTTCTGAGTTTATGTATGATCTAGAAGAATGGGACTTTGGTTATCATAGGGGCTTTTAGGTATTATGGCAAATGATTGGATAAACAGTGATTATAAACCCAAAATATAAAAGTAAGAAGCTAAGGATAATTTATAATTTCAAAATAATTCCTTCGATTTTTGTACAGTTTCTGCCCTTAAAAGCCTATAGAGTACCCTTAGAGACAAATAATTGTACTATTCCTTGTATAATTACCTTCTAAGAATACTGCAAATTAGAATAGTATTTTATTTGCAGTACCTGTCTAAATTAAAAATAAAATGCTCCACCTGACTATGGGTATGTATAGTACTCTACATATTGTTCTTACATTCATTGTTCATACTTTCATTTCCCGCACAAAATTGGTTCATTTAAGCGAACAAGCTTCTTATCAGAATGTCATCTAAAATAATTTAGTTATCCTTCCCTTATAGTGAACAGCATATACCTTATGAAATACTGTTCTCCAATTATTTAACATGTATTTTAGAGCAGATTTCAATTTGCGATGAATAAACCTGACATAGAAATAACAAAGACGCTGATGACTTATTCTTAAAAAGATTTTTACAATATTATTATGTTTCAATAAACAGATACAACTATGTTTTTTGTAGAATGTACAGAGGACCTCACAGCTACCTGAACAATAAGATTGGTGAGAATAAACGTAAGTAGGATACTGTTTCAACCTCTGGAAAACATAATAGTCCCAAATAAATACAGAAAAGGAAATCCAAAATCAGGCCTATCTGAACAGCTCAAGCTCCGTAGTCACCTGGAGTATCCACTTTGTAATATGCTTTCATTATATTTAAGTACAGAAGAAGAGTTTGCCTGTTTTCTCATAGCTTACCCAGTGGATTCATGATATCTCTAGTAGTAAACAAAGACCTTTGTCTGGACTGACAGAAAAAAGATTGCAAATGAGATACTTACAAAAACACATTTTTATACTCCATGTGTCCATTTACCACTAGATAGGCACCAAACCGGAAACAGCCAGCATAGGTAAAGAACATCATTGCTTGTGAAAGAGCAAAAGAAAATCCAAATATATGTGCCTTCTTCACAGAATTTCTGTAAGAAAGAATGCATATTTTCATAAAAATGTGCAGTCATACTTAAGTCCTAGTATGCAAAAGCCAATTAATTGACTTCAGATGATACTGTTACGAATGGGAAGTGTACTTATGCTTAAACAACACAATCCCTTGTCTCCTATTAGACTGTGTCCAAGAGAAAGTTTTGTTTCCAGAATTTTATTTACTTCCAAGAACAGCTTGGAATATGGGTGCAGAAAAAGGTGACACCTTAGTTACTATGTACAATTATTTTCTTACCATCTCATAGTTTGAGTGTTAAAACACTTTACAGTTCAGTCCACGATTACCACTTTGAAGATGTAAATAACACGTTTGAAATTGTACTACTGCATTACATAAGAGGGAAAAAAAAGAACAGAACCTTCAGCCAGAGCCAAATTTTTGTGTCATTTTTTCTTTACTTGCAATTTTATATTAACCAAATAACAAAGATATTAAACAGTGCAATATTATACACTCGAGAATCTGTTTCTTTTCAATTTAATCAGTTACAATTCTTGTCTCAAACAAGATTAAGCCTGCATGTATGATGAAGAAATTAGATTTTGGATGATAAAACTATGGCTATAACTAATAGCAAGGTAGAGAGAAAATTTTCTGTAACTATGTATGATACCAGAAAAAAGAAAGAAAATATTTTAATTTTATTGATGCTATTACTAAGTCACAACTGTATGGTTCCTTCTGGAAAAAACCCAAACCAAAACAAACAGGTGCCAGATTCACAAGTGTGGGTTTTTTTGATTAAGAGGCTGTTGTGACTTCTCTTTTACATAGCTGATTTGTGCATTAATCCAGTATAACAGAAGGCCTAAGCTCAATTTTTATAAAATAGAAACTCTTTGCCTAATCAGTGGTTTAACATGCACTAAAACATTAACTGAAAAACACATGTCCTATCTCTTCCAGACAAATTGACCCATAGGGCAATAAGTTCTTATTTATACTAGAACAACATCAAGATGAAAGTCTTGGAGCAATCCCATCAATGTCAACCCTGAGAATGGTTAGGCACTGTCCTGCAAGTTGTGAGATACGGACTCAGAACCTAGCAGCCTGAGAAAAAAGCTAAAGTAATATCTTTTTCATCCTGCACTGTGCTTTAACCACTCAATGATTATGGTGGATGTATTAGCAGCACCCCTACTCGTCTCCCACCATATCTGTGTACATACGCTGTCATTTCCTTTACTTTTCTCATGGATGTCTACAAATGGAACATTTAATTCTAGAACAAATAAAATTTTAATAGACACTATATTTTTAGTTTTTCACTTTAAGACATTTTAATTTTGATTTAGTCCAGGCAGATTTATATTTCTTTTTTTTTTTTTACCAATTGCAAACCAATAAGTAATTATTCAAATGTTTTCAATCCTATTCATACTTTCAAAAATGGCTTAATGCAATATTTACATTTAAAAGTTTTTAAATAGATATCTGAAAGACTTCAGGTGGGAGGTTAGATTAGATGACTTCCAAAGCTCACTTAAAATTAACATTTTTCCAAACCAAGTGACATTGCAATAGAAGATACCAATATTATCACAGAAAATGAATTAAATCAAAACCTAAAAATGCTGGCTGGTGGTTGCATTTGTTAATAAAAAATATGCAAAATATTCACATTAATTCTGAGGTAATTAAATTACACATTAAAGCATATATGCTAACAAAAAAACCCAGTTAGTCCAAGTAAATGTTTTTAATTTATTCTATAATTTAAATACAGATTTTTTTTTAGCTTACTTATTTTTATTATACCTGTATGGTACATGCAAATGTTCTTCATACATCAACTCAAATTTTCTTTCTCGGGTCAAACTAACAACAGTTCTAATATTTTCTATGGCTTCTGTGGCAATCTGCAATAGAAACACAAAAGTTTTAATCAAAAGTTAAGATTATGTTGCGATTCCTTATTCTAAACTAATAAAAAGAGTCTGCTGGAATATAATTTTATATTTTTTATAATTGTTATTAAAATCATGGACCTTTGATATCAAAAGTAAGCATTTTACATTTTTATTTTTTATGACAGTGAGATTTTCTGATGATGCTCAGGTTTTTCTGATAAAACCTCTTTAATGTCCTCTAAATAAGCAGTGAAAAACCATTAGACAGCAGTGACAATTATGGAGAAGGTATTCAATAAGAAAAATGGCAATTTAGCATTCAGCCTCCAGCCCACTGAGTTTGGGCTATAATCAGAATGTCCAGGCTACTTATGTGCCTAGAACCTAACTTAGATCTCAGCAGTAAATATTTGATGTGATAAATAATGCCTTCTTTAAGCCTGCAGATTCTTTAATCTTGAGTCATTTGCATACACAAAGGTACGTAGTAACATTTGAAGGCAGTACATGCATGCCTACGTGGGAGCAACTGATTCAAGGCTTTTATGTATCTATGTAGGTGCCCATAAAGTCTTCCTCAATGACCACACAGTGAGGCTAGGAGCCTGTATGGTCAATTCAGTCCATATGCATGTAGAAGAGGATGATACTTAGAAATGGCCAACAGAAGACACCTGGAACAATCACATCTCTATAGACAGCGGGACTAGTGCTGCATCCCTCTGTTCACCTCTGGTTGAAACAATGGTCTTGAGTCCATGACCTACACATTGCCTCCGGTGCAATATGTGGTATGTTGGGTATTCCAGTTGGCCACAACTGCAGTCGCTCTGGGAGGGCAGGGATTCCTACATGTACTGTATTGTATCTGGCAACCCCATAAGGATGGATGTTTTCAGTTTGCTAATGCATTTCAAATAGTATTAAACACCTATATCTAGGCTCTATTTAGTTGCCAACCAGTCTCATTTCTAAGGATGGGTGTTTAGCAGGAGAGCTCACTTACGAGCATAGATACTGTACAAATGCACAGTAATAAGTCTGTTTATAACTCAGAGAACTGTATGTACAGAAAGTACACAGCAGGAAATGAATATGGACAATGCCAACGGTAATGTAGCTAGACTTTTGTAGACCTTGTCTACAAAAGACCCTCAAGGCTTTAAGATATTTTGCTGAAATACACATTCCACGCTTTACGCTTTTAGTCTAAGAAAGACCATAAAGTAAGGTTAAGGGAAAATATAACCAAATGAAAGTATATCTAGACAAAAGACTCAAGAATGAGTGAACTTTTCATCTTAATAACAGAACTGGCCATGGGGTACAAGATCACAGTGCTGTAGATAATTCAAGGTATAAATCTGAAGCTAACCATTAGATGGCATCTGCCCAGAAAAAGGTGAAAATCAGGTGCATCTCCTTGCATATTTATATTCATGCAAATTTAGTTGTAAAAGGATGGCTTTACATAGTGATAGTGTTTTTTCAGCACTGAATTCCTATTTATGCTTGGGATTTCCCCACAGGTGTGGTGAGTCCCCCGACTCTTTGCATCTAAACATTTGAAGCTGGGGAGAGGTTTTTTTCCCAGGAGACTGGCAATGTTTTTTAACATCCTAAAACTTACAAAAGGTCAATCTTAACATTATTTTGTGTTTTAATTTTAGAAAGCATAGAATAGATATGCATTTATGTTACATAATATTGTTATTGTATTTGGTGTATTACATGGCTTGTATTTTCCATAAAGCTCTTTAAGAACCAGTGCTTTGGAACACTGTGATTCTCTGGACCTAGTTCTTCGAACTCCCTCTGTTTCCAGCTCATGTCTAGAAGTCAGCAAAGCCCCTGTTCTGCATAAAGCTTTCTGAACTGAGCACTTACACAAAAAGCAGGAGAGAAGCTTCAGGGAGAAGCATGAGCACTTTTAGTAAGTTATTGTACTACAGCAGCTTGTCAGTCTCACTTCAGTGCCTGGTAAAATTATGGAGAAGGTTATTCTGGGAGTTATTGAAAAACATTGAGAGACAATGCAGTCATTGGTGATAGCCAGCATGGGTTCACGAGAGGAAAGCCCTGTTTAACTAACTTAATTTCCTTTTATGACAAGGTGACCCATCCAGTTGACCAGGGGAAACCAGTAGATGTGGGTTTTTTTTTTATTTTAGCAAGTTTTAGTTTAAGTTTTTAGTTTTATGTTTAGTTGTGCCAAGGAAGGTTTAGATTGGACATTAGGAAAAATTTCTTTACTGAAAGAGTGGTCAGGCCTTGGAACAGGCTGCCCAGGGAAGTGGTGGAGTCACCATCTCTGGAAGTATTTAAAAGACATGTAGATGAGGCGCTTAGGGACATGGTTTAGTGGGCATGGTGGTGTTGGGTTGACGGTTGGACTCGATGATCTTAGAGGTCTTTTCCAACCTTAATGATTCTATGATTCTATGGTTCTATAACTGGCTGATGGGTCAGGTTCAGAGAGTTATAGTAAATGGGGTTACATCAGGCTGGTGGCCAGTCACTAGTGGGGTTCTGCAGGGCTCAATTTTAGGGCCAGTGCTCTTTAATGTTGTTATAAGTGATCTGGATGCAGGAGTTGAATGTACACTACATAAGTTTGGCGATGATACTGTGCTGGTTTTGGCTGGGATAGAGTTTTCCATAGTAGCTAGTATGGCGCTATGTTTTGGATTTGTGCTGAAAACAGTGTTGATAATACAGAGATGTTTTCATTACTGCTGAGCAGGGCTTACACAGTCAAGGCCTTTTCTGCTTCTCACCCCACCCCACCAGGAAGTAGGCTGGGGGTGCACAAGAAGTTGGGAGGGGACACAGCTGGGACAGCTGACCCCAACTGACCAATGGGGTATTCCACACCATATGACATCACACTCAGCATATAAAGCTGGGGGAAGAAGAAGGAAGGGGGGGACATTTGGAGTGATGGCATTTGTCTTCCCAAGTAACGGTTACATGTGATGGAGCCCTGCTTTCCTGGAGATGGCTGAACACCTGCCTGCCGATGGGAAGTAGTGAATGAATTGCTTGTTTTGCTTTGCTTGCATGCACGGCTTTTGCTTTACCTATTAAACTGTCTTTATCTCAACCCACGAGTTTTC